ATACATGTGATGAAACTGAATCAAATTTCTTGCCTTTTCACTTTTACAACATTCTAGTAAACTTAATTATTCCCCTGTGGTTAATCCAAAACCTTCAGAGGTATTGTAAAATAAATACCTTGTCCCCATTTAAAACGATTATAAATGGCCATAAATGCTCAGAATAATTAGTGGGAAAACTGAAATGGCACAATTATAGGTTAATCTTCATTAAAACATTTTCCACTACGTTCTAACAATATAAAACATAAAAATATTGGACTGGAGAAAACAATAAAAACTTTTATGTCAAAGAATTTAAACGAAGCTATTCCTATGCAATACTTGTCCTTTGGATTATCCCATCATTTTGAGGATTACAATAAAAGTTCAAAATCCTGTAATGTACGTCCATTATTGATTATCGTACAACATTTTTATTTTCCTACATAGATTTCGAAAAATTAGCTTCCATTAGTAACTTTATAAATATACATGACCTATTTTAGTAGGCACTGAACTCAATAAAAAATATGGAAGCCACGATCGATGAAATGAATCCAGGGTTGTTTTTTCATGTGCTATGGATTTGGCTGGATTTTTATTTAAGTTTACTGAGCTATCCAAAATGTATGTTATACTACTATCATTTTATACTAAATCATGTAATAAGTAGGTTTAGTTGTTTCAGAAATATGGCAATCGGCAACGAGTATTAAAAAATTACTCATAAATATATCTTACGGCAAAATAGTTATACATGGAACAGAATAGATTATTGGTATATAAATATTAACACGTCTCAAAAATAAAAATGTTCTCCCAAAAGAAACTTTTTAGCTTACCCATCTGTATCTTAGTGACTGTTGTTTTCACAAACAGACTGATACTTGTTAAGACCAATCTTAGCAAAAATTTGTGAGCGTAAATCAAGTGAATAAGGTCTGATATTTGAGATAAAATAGAAATGTTTTCACTTAAATTTACCAAAATATCTATTAACAGCTAATAATCACTCTATAAAAAAATCATACAAACAGTTTACAAAAATTTCCAACCATAGCAGTGTCAAATGTAATCCGTTAAACAAATTTACTAAGGCTGCATTCTTATAGCAACAAGTTATTCAATAGTGATTTTTCTCAAGCTTCAACCTGAATGTGCTGTCAACAATCTTGATGCATGACATTAATCTACAATGTATTATACCGTGAACTGGATTGTGAAAATAGAATATTTTAATAATGTGATTTGTGGGTCGATACAAGCTAGACCATCATTGAAAACCTGGGAGCAGTGTGCTACCGTTTCGTCCAAACATGAGACTCCTCAGCAGTGCTCATCCACGATCCCTGCGCTCGAACCCCTCATGCAGGATCGTGGGGTCGCACTGCTGAAGAGTCCCATACTAGGACGAAACGGCCGTCCAGTGCTTCCAAGTTTTCAATGGTGGTCTAGCTTACATCGACTCATGAATTCAACTATTAAAATCACTACAATCTCCACAAACCTCCACTCTAAAAATGGAATATCACTGAAACTCAGATAGAAATTGCTCATTTTTAATCTGAAGTGTTATAGATTGTCAACATAACATCAAACAACCTTGTTCGTCAGTTCTACAATCTGCTTAATTGTTTAAACTACTTCCGAAATGTAAGATTGTCTTAGCATTCGCATTGGCATTAACTACCTTCCTAACAAGCTATCCACGAATCTTAATTATGTATAGCGTGGATCGGTTAGTGTTTTTCAAAAGCCAAAAATCACGTTTGGGAAGGCTTTCTTTTAATATACTATACTATAATTTAGCTTATTGAAAAGTTAATTTATTTTAACCTTTATATCAATGATTTTCTATTATATTCATGACATGACAAATTGTACTGTCATTATAAAATACATTTACTATATCATCTGTCTTGTCATATTCATGTAAACCTAGATGGTTTAGAAAGTCCAATAAAAAACTTTTGTTAGTTGTTTGAAAAGAAAAGTTTTCTTAAAAGTCCACTTCATTATTATTCTGAAGCGTTGTCACGTTTTAATAGGTTCCGACAGTTCTGACGTCATATTAAAAATTTATGTTTTGGTCTTGTGTTTATTTTTACTAATTAATTTGTACTTTTTCAACGGTAATTAGTTATTATTGTCCACCGACAATGTTCAACAGTTAATATTCAACTATCAGTATGACCTTCACGTTTGTTAAGTGAACAGTCGTCTATCATACTGAACCGTAAATTATTTTCAGTCTCCTATCCTTCTCTAACATCCTGATCATTGCACAACCTTCTTTTGATATTTGAAACCTCCGATCACTCTATGATGTAATCTCTCCTATTTATATACTCATATATTCATTAAAAACTGCTGTCTTCGATTTCACAGTAAGTTTTGTTTTCACTTCTTCCTACAACGTTTTTCGTGACTCAGCTAATTTAGTTTAAGAATCCATTTCATACTATAGTACAGATACACCAATTATAATGATAGTAACTCAATGGTTCAAACAGTAAACATTCGAATGAAAAGTTAGTAAAATAGGACAGTGTTTTTCACTTTATGACATAAAGAATTTTACAGAAAAAGTGGCAGAGCGATTAATGTACATTAGAAAGGTCTATTTACTAGTTGTGTGATTACATCACGTTGCATCATAAAAAACAATTTGGCTTCACAATATTTGATCGACTTATTGTAAATTCGCAGTTCTGGTAAAGTTTGGTTATTCAAGTTGAAAAGTATTTAAAAACCCAATCACTTTCCGATCATGGAAACGGTGATGAATAATACGATAGTATCTTTTAAAAGCTCCAAATGGAGGTTACACACTAAAAGTATAGATATGAAGAAAATTCCTATCGAGGCAATGAAATCTATTATGGAACTGCTACAGAATTATGAAGTAAAAGTGTTTGTTACGTGGTCGTAAACAGAATAAATCCCTTTACAGAAAAAGAATTCTGACTCCTCACACAAAATGATGCATACGTAGCCCTTTAGTTTTAAAGTCATTTTACCAATTTAGGTGTTTAATGAACACTGATTATTCTTTTCAGTATTTATTGTAGTTGATAATCCACTGAAAAGTTTGAGTTCAGACTACATTGTTAATTGCAAGACGTATATTGAATGCGGTGCTATGTCTTCAACATACTTGTCAGTGAGATAAAACCACTGATATTTTACAGATTAGTCTCATTTTTTTCTCAAGTTGGTTATTAACGTGTGTTAGTTGCATGTGTTAGTGTATTTTCGTAACAGTTCTTTTATTAACCAGAGATATGAAATATTGATTAATAGATTTACTAATCGGTAAGGGTTTTTCTATAGAATGTAATCGAATAGTTTACCGAAATCTGTGCTAATTGATTTAAACTGTCATGTTAAATATACCTGATTACAAAGTAGGAAGTGGAAATCTGACCTAGTAATTAGTTAACTCATATAAATGCTGCAGTATTCAAAAACCAGAAAGTTAGCAGGAAGAAATCATTGATTTTTGTTACTTGTAGCCGTTAGTTCTCAGTTTATTCCTTCAAGGAAATAATTTTTATATATTTTTAAAAATGTCATAAGGTTAATACAAAATTGAGACGTCTGACAGTCCGTAGTAAATTACTGAAACCAGTTAATATGAACTCTTCAAATGGTAAGTATTGGCATAAATACCAATGTCAGTTTAAGAAAGAATGTAGATTTAGCTTATTTATACTGGTTTTAGTTGACGGATGTTAGTTAGAAAGACACCCAAAACCAAGGCTTGTACCCCAGTGTTTAGAATCTCTTAACGTATGCACAAATTTTTCAGTCTTAAAACCCTATACATCCCATTCGCACTACATTCTTTGTACGTGTCTTAGTCAAGTACTTATTCAATCGTGGTCAGTGCTTTCGATTACAAAATGAATATGATGAATACCAGGATTGAACAAATTAAGATTATTGCTTTTTCCACTAATTAATTTGATACGTTGGATACGTTTTTTTTACAGAACAACGTTCAATACAATGTACAGTCATCAAATCAAACATAAATCTGATCAAAATAATGTTAATATAAGCAAAAGCACCATTAAAATCTCTGTGAGTTAATGCGTCAATAATTCACAGTTATGATAGTGAAATATCCAGATTACTATGAACTTCATTTGTAACATTAATTTTTGTTAAAAATGAATGGCGTATTGACAGTTTGTTTGGCAAATTTACTGTCCAACATAAACTTAGGATTTAGGAACATCTTGATGTGCTTCAAAGAAAACTATTACATTGAAATTTATGAAGTGAATCAGGTGTCTTATAACTAAGTTTCGGTTGAACGGCTGGCTATTTACTCATACATTTTGACTGAAAGTATGTTTCATTAGTAAACATATACTTTATAAAATCATGCATTTAAAATCTTTAGACTAAGTGTCTCCTTGAAAATCAGAAGGAGCTTTCGATCTTGTTAGGAAAACATTTGTTGTACAACTGAGATTTTTACGAACTCAATTACAAAATGGCTTATTGATAATTCTAGGAAAATTGTAAATTATTCAACTTCATATTGTTTTAAACGGTAAACCAGTCTCTTTAGCACTTCATCTCTGTTTATTGTCACAAATGATCTCACTATTCTAGTAACTTTAAATATAATACGATCAGTACATATTAGAAAATCTCATTGTTCTGATAGGAAAGATTACAGCCAATCGTTGAAAAACACCGACGAAGCCAATCTAATCAGCTATCTTTTTGAAACAATGTTTTATATATAAATAATGCCTACAAACTATGTTTTAGTAAATTAGAAACAAAATCATATCACCAAGCTTATAATTTATGCATCTAAATATATCTGTTTTTCGGAGGTATAGCTACGTATAACTGTTATTGTTGCGTTAAATATTGTACAAAATAATTAGCAATCCGGTTGATTGAAGCTCCTAGATTTTGCATAAGATAATATATTAATCGTCATAGTAACTAATACTTTTTAAATATTCTATGAAAGGAAAATAAACTTGACCTACCTCATGATTTGATTCGGGAAATATTCAAAAAATATATATTTACAGAAAATCACTTTAAAATTAAAATTTAGAGGTTTTACATTGGAATTCCCCTTTAAAAAAATCTGGTAATGTTGTAACGAATTAGGTAGCTTGTTTACTTGAATAGTTTTAGACCAATAGTAGTTTTCCTTTCATTATGTTTTTTTCGTGGTTTATTCTGAAAGAATACATAGCATTCCGTGATTAAAAGTCAGAACAAAGATTTGTGTGATTGGACTATGTGATTAATGTCATAACGAATGAGCTGAATAGAGTCATTTTGTTTTTCGTTTGAAAATTGACTTCAGTGTTAACAAATACCTTACACTGTTTTGAAAAAGACATTCAGTGATTTGTACTTTCCAAGCAATAGGGCTTATTTTTCCTTCTAATTCATATAAATGTGATACAACATGAAATTTTGCTTTGTTTCAAGTTGCACTTTTCAACCCAATAGGTTAAGAGTTTGCGTGCGAGACTGAAGGCGCTAGGTTTGAATTCCGCGAGCGGGATCGTAGATGCGAACTGCTGAGGAGTCCTACAATAGGACGAAACGGCCGTTCAGTGCTTCCAGGTTTCCAACAGTGGTCTAAAATCAATCGGTTCATGATCTCAATCAAAAACTTAGTAATCTCCACAACCTCTATACTGATAAAGTTCAATATCTCTTTGAATTAAAGTGATTATGTAATCCATGTAATTTTCCTAAATGTGTAATAATCTAAGATAATAAATACTTTTCAAAAATGTTGAACAAAATAACACTTATTTTTCACAAGTGAATGTAGATAAGACAACTAATTATTTATAAATTCAGCTATTTAAATAAACAATAATATCGGTTTGCATTTGGATTTTATTGTCACATATCTAGTTGAAACCTGGAGTACCTTATTTTGATATAGTTAAACAAGCTATTTGTTTGTCGGGAAATAAAAAATCAAATATTTTTGTGTGGCTTTTTAGCAGATTTATTCCGCGAAATGACCAGTAAACTTGGGTTCGTGAATCAGAGAAAGTTTGTGTCCATCGACGACAAGTGACTTTGTAGTGTACAGTGTCATTATATGCCTAACTTTTAATTTACATGATTCTAATGTACTTCATTATCTGAAAAAATATCATTTTACCATAAATAAGAACAAGTCAAGTTTCCAAACTGTTTTGTCAGAGAATTCGATACTTTTCAGAAATATTTATCTGAATCCTAAAATTGAGAAAATTAAGAAAATGACCTTCAATAGTCTTAGCAATAGGGTGTTAATATATACAGTAATCATTGTTAGATTTTAGGAATCAAACATATTTGAATGAATGGTTCATGAACGGACACACACATATTAAAAATGAAATTTGGGATTTATTGCATATTATGACTTGGCACGTTCACTTTAGTCTAAATTAAAATGTTCCATAAAAAATGTATCATTCATCACTATTGAACAATATCTCAAAGATTGACTTTTATTAAAATAATACGGTAAACGCTGCAGTGCTTTATAATTGTGCAAATCTAAGATAGTTCTAAAAATATATGTACCACATATATATAAGTGTAGGAGCTCCTTTCATACGGATATCGGAAAGAATGGCACTAACGATTGATTTACTGGCCTCTTCTTAATTATTTCCTACCTATATGTGAACACATAAAACTGGACTATTATTTTTATTACTATAATGACAGTAGTCACAATGCAGTATTTCTCCTAATGTTTTCATACGACTTTAATCTATTGATAGGAACTCATCAGAAAGGGTGTTCTTTTCCTACAACCCCTTATACATTCTATAAACTTTGGTAACAACCCATTTATAAGTATTTTATATATATCGACATAACTTTCACCATTATCAACACAAATTATTTAAACTATGGCTTTAACATGTAACCAGCAATAGGCGTAACATAATATTTGCAAATGTATAATTCCTGAGACTAAAGGAAACGTTGTTGGAGATAACTATTCGATCAAATATTAACTGTTTTTGGGATAATTTATGATGAGTATCGGGCTGCGAAAACATTTATGTGATCCAAATGACTTGAAGTCATTTGAAAACAACTAGAAAAACATCATTACATTTTTCTTAGATGCCCAAGGAAAATTATATAACTGAAGAATTTTAATATTCAGATTATTAATCATTATTATTTATAACAAGCCAACTAGAAACCACTCCAATTTCGGAGAAACACAAAGATTTGCTTGTTTATCAGGCGATTATTTCAAGCAGCTCCTATCATTCGGAAATAAAATTGAGAAATTCTGAATTTACGAAAAAAATACTTTTTATAGTACGAGAACAACTCTGAATGCAATAACATACATTATAAGTCGCCCGTTCTCATAACGCATATTAGACATCTCCAAAACTTCGAGTTTGCAATCCGATTTCAAAAATCAGGATATTCCAATAATAAGTTACCGATTGTTTTTGTACATGTTAAATATATAAAATTGTAGACATAAACTAGCTCAAATAAACTTTAGTTCTAGTAAGAATCTAATAACAAATTAGTTAACAATTGCTAGTTAATAAAATCTACGGATGTTTAAATTATTAAAATGATGTCAGATTTAAAATAGACACAAAATGAAAATAAGTTACCTTTTAAAACTTAATCAAAGTATTTGAGAAATAGGTATAAGTATCAGAAGGGGTTTTCTGGACATTGTAGTAATTTCAACAGTTGAGATCATGAGTCAATTGAAGCTAGACCACTATGGAAAACCCGGAAGCACTGGACGGCCATTTCGTACTATTATGGGACTCCCCAGCAGTGCGCATCCACGACCCTCCCCCGCGGGATTCGAACCCAAGGTCTATCAGCCTTGCGCCAGGGGCTTAACCAACTAGACCACTGAGTCGGCATTCAACGGTGTTAGTGTATAACTTCAACCAATCCACGAAATTGAGCGACACATTCACCATTATCATCAGTGAGTTACTACCTCACAACTGGCCCGCTTGAAGCCCACTGGTCACTGCTTCTCAATACAACTCCAAGATATCCTTCTTGAAGCCAGTCACTAGTGAACATATGTTAGCTGGTACCAGAAGCGGTTTTGTGGAGATTGTAGTAATTTCAACAGTTGAGATCATGAACCAATTGGAAAAACGGATAATCAAATTAACAGTAAAAAATTGAGTAACATAATAATATTGCTGGAGTACCATTTTAATATACATTTAATCATTAATCTTAAAAATATAACATTTTTGAATCTGTAAATCGAGAGTCTGTTGACTTCTTTCGAATTGTGCGTAAGCGATAACAAAATTCCCTATAAATCCCCCCTTGATTTCATACTATCCGACAAATGGTGGATCAGGAGTGTTTATAATGTTGAGTTCTCTGAAGATTTCGGGAGTGTATCATAAAGCATTAATAGTTGACATGATAGTCAGTGTTTGCCGCTTTTAGGTGACAAATTTTAGAATATTAGATTTTTATGAGACTATTAACATAGCCCAATCGTAGTTCTTGTTAATCACCATAAATACAACAAATATAATTTTTTAAAAAGAACGAACGGAGAGCAGGAATTTCCCAGTAAGGGAAATACAAAGATTAGGTTAATAGGGAAAGGCATTTTCTGTAGACAAAGTTAGGATCGGATTTTAAAATATAAGCTCAGAGCATTTCTTCCTTAAGTAAACGATTAATACTTTGCGCTCAGAATGTGCTAGAGTGGTTTTAGCTAACTTTCAAGTGTAAATGTCCCAACGGATCTGGGTGAATTCCATGGTCCGTATGTGAATACTTGAACGATGTGAGTGCATCAAGAGAACAAGACTAAAGATTTTTCTCCAATATTTATAATTTTGACTGACACAAATCCGTTTCACCACATATTGAAATGAGAGCTACCACAACAATACCCAATGAACTCCTTCATGAACCACAGAAATCCATAATTGAAAGCGGAATTACAATGATGATTAATAATATTTTGAGTTTTGAGCGTTGGAAAACACCTAGTTACAGTCGAACATTCGGCTCAACAATTACATGATGGAGTTCCTTTGAAATATTTCCTATGCAACACAAGTCACTCGTCCTGATAACTGTTATTAAACAACTCTATGAAAAACGAAGCGACATTGTATAATTTAGCAGAGCGACCATCAAACGTCTCTAATCTTAATTTTTTGAGCCAGCTCTTTTGAAATTCATTGACAACTGAACCTATAGCAATTCACCAGTTCAACCCTAATCTCTGAGTACAAAAGAGTCATATTCACTCCCTTAGCTTTAACACCCTTCCCCATTTTATAATTCGTGAGTGCCAATTAATATCGTATTCTCTACCTTTTTCTTGGTAAAGTAGATAGCTATCCTTCATATTTTTCCTAATTAACTATTATTTCTGAATACCACTCCTAAGACTAACTGAACTTACCTAATCTGATATAACCAATCCTAACCTAAACTTTTGGTTATGTTTTGAATTCTTTGTTAACTGATGCAACGCCTTTATTTTATTCAATGCGTGAAAACTTTTGATTATTTTAATTAATTTGTTGGACGATACAATAAGATTCCATTTTTTATAGACTCTCTCACTAAATAGATATTCGGCCACCGGAACATTTTCATGATTCTTCCATGTTTTGCTAACATTATTCTACTAATCTTCAATAATAAGATGTAAAATATGTCCACTGTTGTTTTGTAAGCAACAACCAGACATGTCTTCAGAATGTAAGCAACTAAAGCGAAACCACGGAAATAAACGGATTCACGCTATTCTGTTACGTTCTTTGTTCTTGCTCTTTCTAGGTGCACCGACGTAGCTTGTTATGTAGAATATCTATTCCAGGTTGACTGATACAACCGTAAGCAAAAATATGGATCAACTACATAGCCTTTGGTTTAGACCCTGAGGTAGACGTTGACATCATTGATTTCCTGTCTTAACTGGTGTTCATCGAAATTATTACAGAAAAAATAATCACTGTTTACTCCAGAGATAATCATCTGAGATACAAATGTATTTGGAAAGCTAGTCGTGAAAATTGTATTTCTATGCAACGCTTCTTAAATATAACAGGGCAAATGTTCGCGAGAACTGGAGGGATCTTCTTGATACTTCCATCCTATAAAAGAAGGTCAGAAATAAGTGCATCCAGAGTTCATTAGTTACCGTTTAATACATTAAAGAGTGGACTGTTTGAAAAATTATTTGTAAGATTGGTTTGTAAGATTCCTTAATATTTTTAAGATGGAATGTAAATGTGAATGAATTCATTATGATAAATTCTAATTGTGGAATATTGCAAATGCATATAAGTTAATTAAGAACATATGATTGAAGTAGGCCAAAGATTGAGATTATTCGAAGTTTGTAATACATATATACTGATTGTCAGAAACCTACAATATTTTTTCATACTACTCGTTTTCGAAAGTGGTTCGAGATAAATTTTAATTGGACTACGATGTGTGCTGAACTTTCATTACCCTAATAACTGACCAGTTTTCCTTCACTGTTTCAGTCATTTATAAAAAAAGGAGTGGTCTGACAGGTTACTTTGTCAATGCTGTATGGTTCATCATTCTTCAAATAAGTATTCTAGGACCCGAACATCAAAGTTTCATTATGTTAGCTCATGACTGCAACGGTACAAGTGTTGAGGATTTCATATTTAACTATTTCAGAGATGAAGATATCCTTGAAGAATTGTCAGTAACATTATATTAGGCAGTATTTTCGTTGTTATAATTTACTTTTAAATTTGTATCGCTTGGTGTAAAATAAAATCAAGCTTTATGTCTAGGTCAAATAAGTCATATTTCAGAAGAAACACCGTATTATGTTGATTCAATGTTGTATCTCACATTAGTACATTTAGGCAACTATATGTTTAACGAATATTCATATCTATCTGTTCTTTCCAACTAATCACCCACTGCAAATATATTTGATCAATTTTCAGAAATAGAAAATAAGGTATTTATCATAGTATTTTAATGAAATCAAACAGCGCGAAGAATATTTTCTGGAAATGATGAAAGCGATGTTGACGCTTCAGTTCAGTTCTGAATTTCATGATTTATATACTCAAGTCAATCATAAAATTGTCGATTTATAGTTATCTTTCTATGAAAAGAAATAAAACAAAATTTAAATGTCGTTTAGAATACAACAACAATTCTAAAATGTTGTCGGATGACAATTCATCACTCACAGTTCTTGATTTTCAAATTCAGTGAGTGACCTATTTCCATTCAAACCAGATTTCAGAATAAATTTCTGTCACAATATTTGAGCACATGTGTGTTATTTAACAATAAAAAAATTCAATCAATATGAAACGGATGTGAGAAGTGAGATGAATTGTACAGGAAATTTTGAAATTAAATCACTGTATCAGTTAGACAATTTCAAATGGGTTAGAGAAATTGATAAATTAGGGGAAATGGAGTAAAAGAGGTTTCGGAAATGATTATTTGGGAAAGCAGTTCCCTTGTTGAGTGAAAAGTTATGTTAACGAAATCCAGACGTTTATGAAAGATAGACACATCGATGATACCATTTTAAACCTGACATCGAAAAAAGTACAGAATTATTCTAAATGTTATCGCTCGCGAAATTAATTTCCATATTGTAATAGTCGATAGGTGGGAATCACTAGTAATACTGAAGTTGTTTTCAATTTCAGAGACAGTTTGTAGTGATTAACCGTTAGCCTTAGCGCCTTCTAGTATGATATTTTTGCAACCATGAAAATTGAGTTGTTTTCGATTGAATTGGTTTTTGGTGTTATTACTCAACGAAATAGTGCCAAAAACAATTAGCATTTGGCTTTGGACAAGTGTTTTTGGGATGTTAGCACTCACCATAAAATGTATCAGAAGCATTGAAGGATGTGAAGTTCTCTCTCCCTCTAGCTGTATATATATACACAAAAATCATAGAATGAAAGCATATCGTTCTAGTTACAAAGAGACAAGACGGTAGTTGAAAGTCTTTCGAAAACCAACGTACCACTGTATATTATGAAAAACATAGAATAAGGAGCATAATACATAACAAAAATGTCTTGGTTCAAATTAATCTACAGATCCAATCACAGTAAAATAATCAGGAGTGAAATATGCTCCTACTACATACAAGATATTAGTATAATACAAATAATGGGAGCTAAAATATAAATAATTTACCAATCGGCGCATAAAAACATATTGAATTCAATACAATTAGCCCCTTTGATAAATTTCGATAATGCAATGAGAAGATGAAAGTTATCTGAATTATGTAATATATTTGCGTAATACATTTCGAACAATCTGATCACACATATATACTTAATAAGATATTCTTATATGAAAAATAACATGTCAACGACTTACCTTTAACCTGTCTAGTTGACCTTTTATTTTTTTTTTATATAAATGTTCTTAACAAGTATACGTGTGATCAGATTGCTCGAAATGTATTACGCAAATATATTACATAATTCAGATAACTCTCATCTCATTGCACTATCAAAATATTGAATTCAATATCAACAAATATTAAATTCAAAAATAAATGAGTGCCCAATCTGATGAGGCTTTATTGAGAACCGACAATCTATCTATACAACTTTGCATGTATATATAACGCGATTTCGTATATTCTAATTATTTCAAAAACACTTCTAACCTACTCATTAACATTCAGTCAACTCTTTGTGACCTGTTATTCATATAATTAGTTAAAATCAATAGATTTTCCTAAATAACACTAAATTTTGTTATAACACAAGGTGTAAACAAAATTTCTTTTGGACGATTCATGTTAAGGTCAGGTTTACTAATAAAACGTTGACTATTGACTTTTTTAAAAACATAACCACTAAAAATACAAATCAGTTTCGAAACTAGAGGAGAGTTAGTCGATGAATTATTTAACTAGAAATATCGCAATGTTAAAGTAAAACATCACTTGAAACACTCATGCAACGCTGTTCGAGAGAATTGATTAAAGAGACAAAACAAATCAAAAAGCTTAATTTGTACTAAGAAAATGTACATTTCTAGAGGTATTATATCCTAAAACCGATCAGATTGCAACTACTTAGATTTTACACAGTAACGGAATACTGATAATGATTATTCAGGTGAAAGTGACTAGTTGTTACACTTTTCTTTCCGATTGGTTTATCGTTTGAAATTAGGTGATTGAGTATGTTTGATTGCAAATCAAAATGCTCATCCGACTGCACATTATTTTTGATTTGTGAATCTACATTGTGTAGGCCTTTAGAAAAATACAGTCGTTTTCAATAATATATTGGACATCGTGAAATGCAAGACCAGATTGTTAGCTACGCCAATGTTCACCAGTGCACAACAAAAAGATGTTACTTGAACTTTCCTGTCAGTTGAGCACTATTACTTGTGAATTAGTTTTATATGAATGGCAATCAAGTTACTGATGATAAACGGGATTCCAGACATCTAAGAGACAGATCAAAGTGGATATTTCGAGTTCCATCTTCCACATTCTAGTCAAAATTCTAACAACTACTTATCGATATGTGTAGGTTGAAAATTTTCGTTACCAGTTGAAGGCTATACAAACGTATATATTACTGATGCTTGACGAAAGTGTGTATGGAACAATCTCACAGTGTGTTATTTGGAGCCTTGTCTATTAATACAGAACTCAACAATTTGACCAAGATTATAAACAGTGCATGTATTCTCTTACTATTCTTTCAGGTTATTTATTGTGAAGTGAACGTTCTTTTTAGAATTTCAGTCCGAAATTAGGCTTTTAATTTTTAGAGTAAATATTCCAACACTTTCTTCTTACGTTTGAACTTCTTATTGAGATTTAGTACGTAGACTACTATTTGTATGTATAAATTGGTTTTTGTAGATTCACATGGTGTAATTTCTGAAGGATATCTACTAAGTCATTTCATTTATCTATATTTTGGATTTAGCTAATTTGTCTTTAATTTTTGTTTGTAAGGAACTCACGTAAATAGTTTATTTTTCTGAATATTCATTGGTTAACCTTACTAGAGCAATAACAACGAGCGTAACAGAATAGCGTGAATCCATTTATGTCTATTCAACAACATGAGATTTATTCCATCGTTTAAATCTTTTTATATGCATAAGATTTTCTTACTGAAAAATATTATTTGTTAAGGAATCCCAGTTGCTTACTTCTCTTTGAAAGTTTCACGACTAATTATTCTGCTGAAAGAAAATAACACCTCCAGAATCTTTCTTAAGGTCTATAAATCTCTATCATATCAAAATGGCCTGACTGGTATATATGGATTAATGCAAAATTACACAGTGCTTTCATAAAATACGAAAACCATACATCAAATACTTTATTGTCACATATTCCATCAATTGTCTCTTACAAACGTCATCATTCCTTCATTCCTGTTATTACAGTTCCTCCCTGTTTACATTCCTATTCTCTTCAACTCGATCTTCTTAACTTTCTGCTCCTAAACCTTCTACTTCTGGTTCGTGTTACATACTGCTTACATCGACATACATATAAAGCACACACCACATAACAACAAGTAAAACGTGAAAATAATCTCTAAAATGGCACTGTTTGAGCAGTTTGATTTATCTTTTCATTTAATGTCACAAATACTGCAAAATATGTGAACTTATATTCAAACTTGGTTTCGTAGCTGATTTTTCAAAACTTTGTTATTCATACAAGTTTGACAAAAATATATTACTTTTCTATAGTTTTTTTTCAGCTTGACTAACAATCAACTACTATCTATTTTTGATATTACATATAGTTTTTTTCTGTTTTATTTCTGATAACTCAGTCAAACATTAATCAGTATAAAAATGTAAGCACATCAAAAGTTTAAACTAAGATGTTTTAGAAAAAATAAAAAAGTGAAAACACAAAAATTAATGTTCTTTAAATGTTACTAGAAAATAGACACAAACGACATTTACAATTTAGAGCAAATACTCATTCTAAAAAGAAAACAGAATTTAATACAATTCATTTGATGAAGTAATGTATTTATTAAGTGAATTCATGAGTCGATTAAAGCTAGACCACCATAGAAAATTTGGTGGTTGTGCTAGTAATTGCTAAAATCAGTAAACCCATTTACCTGTGATAAAAATACGCTATTCACACAGAAGAAAGCCTGATAAACATTGTTATATTTTATGTTAAGCATATTAGATAGAGTTGAATTTGAGTTAATTTGGTCAAGAATAATAAATTATGGAGCTGAGTGAATATTTATAAGAGTCTTTAATTTGGACCTGTGTAGAAAAAGCAAAGGTTTTGGGTAAATTCACATCCCAACTGCAAGATAACGTATTTTAAACGTCGAACTAATATTAAACACCATCAATCTTGTTCAAATTTCTTCCACAATCCAACGTTGATATCTTTAAACATAGAAAATACTGAATACTAATTGTTTGCAATAAATTAACAAGTTAATGCTCGGCGATATTACAATCAATCGACTTATATTTGACCAATCGATTTTTCAATGTTTCCGATCGAATTACCAATTACAAGTTTTGGCTGCTTATGCTGATAATGTTAATCTATCAAAGAAAAATCCTACAACTACACAAGTAACAGAAACAAATCCATGGAGCATTTAGTCTCATCTGATGATCATGGAAACAGATCTTTTCGCAATGCTCCTGTTGCTATGGCATACAATGAAGATCTTTAAAATTGAACAGTAACTACCTTTTTATCAATGGAACTAGCGGTAAAATATAAACGTAAACAATTACAACATATTTTTTTTAACTAAACAGCATTTACAGATTGTCTAATTTGTTTTAAAAAATTATGAATCCAGAAATTAGACGTTGAGAAAAATGGAACAACATTTTGTGTAAAATATACAAAATCTAAAATAATAGTTGGAAAACATTATGGAAACTGGACAAAATGAAAGTAGAAGTAGGAAAAGTCATTCAGTAAAAAAATCATGGGGAATTCGGTGAACGATGTGATCTTCGTATACGGAGTATTCTGTGACCTAAATGACGGAAAATATTAAGAAAAAGCATGAAGCTCTAATTAAATGTAGGACTAGTTTAAGAAACAAAAACAAAATCATTTATTTAACTTGAAGAAAGAGTTTATTCAATGCTTAGATATCAAATGAAAAAGAACTTCGAATGTACTGTTCAAATCTTTCTATAGAATACGTAAAGTCCTAAAAAATAATTAACACAATATAATAGTAAGACTATGAATTTGTTGGTAAAGTTACAGTCGCAAAGTGAGAAGTTCAGAACCGAACCAAAGCACACTATATCCAACATCTATAGTTCGAATTACGAAATCCTCAGTCAAAAACATCAAAGGCAAACAACCCTTTCTACATGCATACGAAAAGTGCCTTTTCAATCAAGAAACAGTTGACTGAAGACAACATAAAACTTTAAAGTTAGAAACTCAGATTTCGGAAATACTAACCATACTTATGAAAGGTCAGGGCTTTAAAATAATCGATTATTCACAAACAGACAGAAATAATTTCATACAATTGGTTCTCTTTATGAATTTAAATGGAGCAAGAAGAAACATTGATGCAGAATAGTATGAATTCAAAATATTTCGAGGTTTCTCGTCGGCTGTTTACAAACCAAAAATGTGATAGAATTTTTTACATTGAGATAGTGTGAAACAATTGACACAAATGAGTGTAAATAACCGGATTACAATGATAACTATATATAAAGGCAATTTCATCTCCTTTGAAAAATATTCATCACAAAAACGCTTGGAATGGTCTATATCTCAATTACCATAACTTCTGCTCAATGAGTTACAAAAAGGGTATTTTACGAACCCTTTTTGACCGCGCTCGCAAAATTTATTCAAAGGAATGCCTTGATGACGAAATTACTCTCATCACTAATGTTCTACCTGAAAATGCATACCCGTTGAAATTCATCCAGAAATATGCAAAAACCAATCCTCAGACAAAGTATGATGGAGTAGAAAAGAGAACTTGCTTCTTACATTTACGTTTCAAAGGAGATGAAATTGCCGGATTAATTAATCACAGATTAAATTCTGCATTGAAAGTGGCCTACCCAGAAGCGAAACTTACGACAGTATGGCAAACGAACTGCTCACTTAAACAAACTAAAATCGACAAGTCCTCTTTTATTAGTAGCTCCAACTGCATTTATCAATTCACATGTACGTGCCAAAGCACATACATTGGAAAAACTGAAAGAAGAGTGCGTGTTCGCATTTCTGAGCATGTTCCGAAGAACTTGATGCTGCGAGGGACCAAAGCTCTAAACAGTGCAATAGCTCGGCATTTACTTGACACCGGGCATACTGCCGACATTTTGCATGCTTTTAAAATTATCAATAGACAAAGAAGCGCGACTACTCTTCGTTTCGCTGAAGCGATTGCGATAAAAAAACTTAAACCGGATTTATGCATTCAAAAAGAGACTTGAGTAAAATTATCACTACCCTGGTAACCCCCTTTTTTGTGTGTGTTTTGGTTATTTGGGTTATTTTATTCATTTATTTATTTTTAAATATTTATACTCCTCCCCTATTACATAATTCTTAAACCACATTATTATTCACACATTTCCACCACCTGATCCTCTTAAATTATCTTAACTTTTCAAATTCTATTTAATTATTATTACGTAATCTACCTTATCATTATTCAATTCCATTAATCTCTCTAATTATCACACAATTTATGAACTTCACTAAACTATTACACCACCCAACCTGAATTAACCCCCTTTTTTTTACCTCTGACCTGTTTCTAGCATATATATATATAGTTATTATTGTAACCCAGTTATTTACACTCATCTATGTCAATTGTTTCACTCTATCTCAATGTAAAAATTCTATCACATTTTTTGGTTTGTAAGCAGCTGACGAGAAACCTCGAAATAATATGAATTCATACTATTCTGCACCAATATTTGTTCTTGCTTTATTTAAAGACAAAAATAACTTAGTGGTCCGCATACACATATATGAAAAGAAATTAATCAAGTTCCGAACTTAGTATCAACAACGAGAAAACTTAGACCCTTACACAATTATACAGTTTTACTGCATACCAAAAATAATTCAAAATGAAAATATAGGTTTAAGATTTTGGATACTTTAACAAATGTGTTAAGCAATTTTATGAGTTAAAATCATGATGACTATATGAGTTTAGTATTAGATTGTAGATAAGATCTAAAAGAATTTAACTTACAGCACAAATAATCGGAATGTGCTGAATCTTCTCACCCATTTATGGAGTGATCGACACCCAGTAAAACAGGCCATTGTAAGCAGGGTAAGACTCCAGTAGCGTATAATTCGCATTCCAGTAACCATCTGTTTTAAAGCGACTTGATGCATCCTTCAGAAGTTCGTTACTGTGTAAAAAAAAGTACACATAAAAAAACAATAGGGAAAATGCCCTATGACTGCAGTTACAAAGATCATGATACTCCTAGAAAAGTACTCGGAATAAGTCGAGAATTGGTGGTTTAAGTACATGTTTTTAAAGAATGTATTATTTATTAAAGTCTCAGTAGGTGGATAATGTGACTAACATGCGGTAGTTGTGGTGCGAAGATGGTACGTAATTATTAGAATGGATACGTATTTGTCAAAGTTTAAGCTTTATACAACAAATCTACTTTGCAGGGCCAATAGCTAAGTACACAAAATTCATAACGGCAGTCATTTGATTCGATTTTATAAACGTTTATGAAACAGTATGTGAAACGTATCGTAATGATTACAATAAACACCGTTCATGGATCGAAAACAGATTTCTCAGATTATTGCCTGGTAAAAATTGTAAGTGTGGCTTGTTTGTGAATTACCAATGCTGATTTACTAACTTAGATTTTACACGATTAGTTAAAATTGTTCACAATCACATTCTAACAGACCTTCATAAAATAAATATTGATGTAATGTAATGATATTAAAATCCTAAATAATAAGACAAGGCACGCCACAGTTACAGAAGTAATAAATCAGACAATGAACATTAGATGCCTAAGAGGGAAAGATTTACTTTACAAAAACCTGCTTTCATTTTGTAAACTTACTACCTATTTAGTAAGTTATCTCGTAATCCAATTGGGTGATAGGAAGAAATATATATATCTAGACTCAGGCAAAGGTGCAGTACTTTATAGATAATGGAATTAAGCATCTATTCAGCATATACAGGTACAGTACAGCGAACTTATTATCTGGCTACATGAAATCTTTTTGACAGTATTTAAGGTATGGGTACCAAAAAAATTAGGTAATAAGTTAGTGGTCATTACCTTTAAAGACGTAGCAGTAGCATAAGTGAGATAACGTGAAGAGATACAAAGTTCACTTTTCTGTTCACAATGTTTTTCGTTAATTTAAAATATGTCGTTGGGAATTGTAGTTAGTAACTAAAACACCTGCGTATCATTACTCACTAGGCTACCCGCCTAGCCACAGTATAAACATGAAAGGTGATCTCTAAATGGAGAATGGAAGTACAGTTTTCATGACGAATTTTTATATTCGATAACATTTCATTTTGCCAGAAAACATACTGTTTTTACAGAATCCGTCCACTGGAGCCTTGTGTGGTGATCCTATTATATGCAGCGACTGAGTTTCAAAAAAGTCCTGTTGACATAATTGTTCTTTAATTCGATCAAATATAACGTGCACAAAAGCCATCCATTTCATTCCACTAGTTGATGAGTCCAGTGATGCCTGAGATTACAAGCACGTTTACAAATTTGAAAGCATATGTGATTATATCTACCCAGCTTATCAGTAAGTCGACAATAATAACAAAAACCGTAAAACCAAAGAATATCACCGAGTGTGAAACACATAAATGAAAACTACTTATTTGCACAAAAATGTTAGACATTTCACGAAATTATTTTTCTACATTAGCATAAGGATTCAAATAATCGAATAAGACCCTTGAAATTTGAGTATTCCATCAAAAAAGGATATTTTCACACGAATAGAATGAAAGAGGTAAAAATGTAATTTTGAAATTCACAACGGATATTCTATGTTGAACCCCTACAATATTACACAGTGAATAGTCCTGCTTATGAATATTAGATTTGTTTCAATTTTTCAGTACATTTTAAAACAGTAAAGTTTACCGTTACTCCACAATGATATAATGAATAGCAGGAACCGGTTACCAAAATAAGACTCTTTACAAGTTACCAATTTCATTCTATTTAAAATGCCCTACGTAATAAACCAGAATAAACGATCAGTAGCTACAATCAAAGTAATCGGTGAATAACCAATGAGAATCCACAAAATTCACTGTGGAAAACACAAAAGCGATGGGTTGTAGTCACTAATTATACAGAGGTTAGTGTGCCGAAAAACATTTGTCATTCAGGTTGGTCGTATTTAACTACTTTTATCGAACTTCCATCGCAGAAACACTAACCAACTCACTATTTAGTTAGCACCAAACGTTAGCATTTAAAATACGAAGTATATTATGTGTAGTTTATAATTTTCTGTGACGAATAATCAGATGATATCAGACTTTCGAGCAGAATATTGCCAATATACAGAGAGTTCTGTAATAATAGTGATTCAGGTATTAATGCAACTGAAAATGGACCTGATATTGGGAAGATAAATGGTCTTTTCGAAATGACTTGTGAGGCCACTTAGCAGGTCACATAGCTGGGGAGCAGTTACTAAATATAGTCGTCGTTGTCAGCTATAATCTATCAATAGTCTGAAACACTTAGTTGGTCGATCTACAAACACTGACATTTATGTATGGAGACGAGCACACGAAGAAATAAAATAGACTGGTTTATACATGAATATGGTAGGTATTCGATGATAAATTCAATTACTTCTGAATACTCATTTGGGACTAATATTACTATCAATACTGTGCGATACTTAATAGATTATTTTAAATATCTTAGATAAAAAACAACAATGAGCAAGTGTATATTACAAAAACGAATTCTTAAGTCTGAGGATTGGGAAAGACATACCGTTTAGGATTGACCGGATTACTTGGGTCTTTCTTATGACTAATCATTCTGTAACGAGCGATTTCTTCAGGGTAACGCATAACGCTGTAATTATGATAGACTACTCTAGCGTATAAATCGTCATCTTCTCCACCCCATCCAAAATACATATTTGAAAATCCACCAACCTTTTCAAACTGTTTCTTGGTGAACGCCACAGCTCCGCCAAAAATCGTAAGATAAGGAAGACTAAAAAATAATAAATTCATGTGAATAAAGTTATTTAGCAAAAATTTTGGGTAGCTTTATTGAGAAAAAAAACAAACACACCACGCATAAACATGTTTGATTCTTGTTTGTCATGAAAAGGCATCCGTCTAGTCAATAACTAGATATATTCCAGTTACCCCCAAATTATGACAGTAGTAAAATAGATCACAATTTTCCTAACTCTTGGAAATTAGAAGTTTCAGGATTTGGTTACAAAATACGAAAAGACTCTACAACTTGGATTCAGTTCTCTGTAATGACAGTTGTCTACCATAATGCAGTTGCTTCGAAGTAATAGAGTAGTTTATATAGTCACTAAAATTGATACCGCATTGACAAGGTAATATGGTGCATCGATAAATCTATGTATGGAATTTAAGTCCAGCGGTAAACCGTCTGGTACTTGTGTTTTTTTAGAAATATACATATTTCAACTTATTAAATTAATTTACACTTCATTTTTAAGGAATCACTACTTTTATGCTTGTTCATACTATCATTTTTATACATGCTGGATGGTCCTTATTGTTAAATTATTATTTATGCTAAAATAATGGTCGACAGAACTTACAAGTGTGAATCTGAGTTGAAGTATTGGAATCTATCCATGAATGCATTTACAATATGAAGCTCACAGCTGAAATATAGATGGTTGGTGAACTGCATTCTAGTTAGGGTCTTAAACAGGTGGGTCCCAAAAATTCACCGTAACTAGGTAGAAAGCTGATAATTCCTTGAGTAAAGTCTAACGATGTAAAAGTTATATAAATACCAAGTTTATTTGGAAGTTGGTTAGAAATATAAACTGTCCTAATTCATACGATATGACTTCCTCGACTAAAATATTGAATCAACTTTCTTATTTATTGAAGAATGTTACCAACTGAACAAATTCAAAATTTAAAAGTCTAGGAGTTTAAATATAAGCACTGACCGGTAGTTAAACTTGTCCACAGCAACAGATAGGTGTCTCGGTTGGTTGGCACAACGATATGAATTTCGATCGTCTTCAGGCAATAAATCCACATCATGAAATATGAAGCAGTCAAAATTTGTAACCCGTTTCGACTCGATAAACCCAGCATTCAGAAGAAGGGCACGATTGAAATGAGTTTCACCGTCCTAAACATGTATTTATAAGTAGAAAATGAAGACTTTAGCAATACTACAACCTTGGTTATTTCATGATTAATCTCCACAATAGAAACACATACGTAAACAGCCTAGAGTGAAAAATGGTAGTCTTTATTGTTACTTCGCTTGAATACCGAAAAACGTCTATTGGGAGTGAGGTGAACCATAAATAAAGAAACTCCATTATTGTTTGAACGCTAAATAAGGAAGATGCTGTTGATTCAAATACTACTACAACACTCTGTTGGTAAGAAATTGATTTTGTTGCAATCTATAATCATTCATGTCAAACAAATGACCTAGTATATATTAAAACTCTGCTTTCAGTAACAATGTACTATTTTAGTGCATGTTTCGTAAATACCACGGACGTCAATCAACAGGATTAACCTATCAACACAGTTTGGGGTTAGTAAAAGTAATATATTACTATACCTATTAACAGCCATAGAGTATAATATCTTTACGAAAAAAACCCACAATCCTGTGGGAACAGAAAATGGACCGTAACCCAAGAAAAAGAACATAAGATGAGAATTTACCAAACACAACACGAAAACATCTTTGTTACCGGAACCTTAAATATGGGTGTTGAGAATGATTAGCTTGCTTTTTCTCATCAATTTTAATGTACATTTACAGAAACTATGGTCCAACCGATGTCAAAACCCACTTTTGGAGCAAGAAGCACAAATTTTCCAGGTTCATGGCTTGGTAGTTACTCTTGAGTGTTAACCACTAGGTAGTAAGTGTAATCCCTGCTCCAGCTACTTCGGTCTAGGCAACTGAGTATTACCATTAGACCTGACAGAAATGGCTTCAAGTACAAGGAAATGAACCCAAAGATAATGAATAACATTGGATGGACTTTGTAAATGCTCTTAAAATATGTAGTATACACACTAACCGTGACCTTTAGTGTGGAGTTCCAAATTGAGGCAATATATGAGCAAAATGATTCAAAAGTACATTACCATGATAACAGTGGTTGAAAAATATAGTTGAAAGTTCTGAAAAGGGTTCAAAAGACAACTGAAATCATATCTAAAAATAGTAACTAACTTGATTTATAACGAAAATGGTATACATAAGCAGTTGGTTACGCAGAAAAGCATGCATATGTCCTAAAAACATACGCAAATGAATATCACGATTTCGATACGGGACAATAACAGCCAGCTTTTCAGTTGGATCACATACATTTGGACGCCACAATCCGACGTATTTCTCCAATGAATCGGTGTAATTGTGGAAACTAATAGATCCATTGTGGATCACCACAGGGTTTAAACTGGGTTGTGAATAGTTGCCACCTTTTGAAAGGATAATTTTACGTTGAGAGGGTAATGATGTATATTTCTCCATTAAGGAATCCCAAGTAGGTACATTAGTCTCGATTTTTAAACGCCCAACTAGTGATAACAAAAGGATGGATTGTTGTTAATCATGCAAAAAGCTGAGGTGACAAACAAATTAGAACAAAAACGTGACAAAGTAAACACTCATTCCTTGTTAAATAACAGGGAACAACAATACTGACACTGATGGAGAGAACAACTAGATATTTCAAATAAGCAATAAGACCAATCAAATTCAGCAAATAGTAGATAAATATAAACGATTTTTGGACACCTCACAGCCTCAGTTGAAACTCAGAAAATCATTAAATCGAACAGCAAGATCACATTGGGAGTATGCGATGCATAATGATACAAGACACTAGATACATATTTAAGTTGATAGACAACGCAAATCACTCTCAACTGAGTACTGAAAATATAGAGGGAGACGATCACAACCGATAGTTAAAGCATACATTAAATTGATAGGATATCCTCTTTACCTTAAAGGATATTACATCTAGTACCGAAGCCACTAGTTCGCCCAAGTGGCCAAAAGCTAGACAACGTAGAAACTTAAGAAAGTCTAACGGTTGAAGGTAGCATATACATAGATACGACAGAAAGGGATTCGATAGATAATAAAATTAATCGATGAAGACCAATAATTTGATTCTAATATTTGAGATTTGTTTCTTTCCCTCTAAATGCTGCCCCATTACTAGTCCGCTTCAACTTTTCAACTAATGATAAGGAATGAATTAATTGAGCACGTCAACCACTGAACTTATCATATGAGTTTCATTAGCTTTGGTGGGTTGGTATCTGACGAAATCTCAGAACGGATCCAAAGAGCTCCATTGGTGATTGCCACTTGATCCATAGACGATATGTTCGTTAATCTACCAAAGGGTGAAGATACTGTGCAACAGTCCGCTCAATTCTACTTAATAGCTGTGAGATGTGACCTTTGAAACAGAGGATATTCGTAGGTTACCAGTATTTAATCCTACATGCCTTCGAAGCATTGCTCATGTACTTTGTGATGTTAGACACAAAGTACTAAGCAAGGATGGCAAGTTGGTTAACTAGCTTGCAAATATTCGTCGACTGAGACAGTTGGAACATATATTATGTATGATTAGCCACCTTCTGCCACCATTTTGACGATGATTGGTGTAGGGGTAGGTTGGAAGAAAGCTAAGGACTGGTATCGAAGTGTGGGATCGGTCCACGAAGACATCGACTAATGAACTGAGTCTTACAGGTAGGTGCAGACTACTTGGTCAGGGTCCGCGTGATTATCATAACCAACTGTTAGAGAATTGAGTCCTATCTTTTTCTATCAATTCTAATATTGTTACCATTTATACTATAGCACACCGACATGCTGATGTAGTGACAACTTGAACCGATGTACTCATGTGCCAGGTTTTACGTTCTGTATGACTGATGAACTGATTTTAGAGCTAATGTTTTCTCAGTCATAGTATATAAAGTTTCAAGCTCTCTAAGGGAGGTCAACAAACTTTAGCTATGATTAGAATAAAACTTCCAAACTCGTAAGCTTGCTGTAAAATAAAATATAAGGAAAATTAGGGTCAAACTTACTAGCGTGAGGATTTTCTTTTGGGCACTCTTGTTGTTCCGAAACAACCTAGAAAGTATAAAAACCTACTATAAGGACTTAGAACGTATCGGGATTTCGAACTGGAGTACTTTGGTAGCACTAACAAAATAACAATTCAAAGTCTAGTAAACCTTATGTGAAAGATAATTGTAATTACTTGAAAACCTGATGAAGCCAGTTTACCTAACTATCTCAAACATATGCTATTAATAAATAAACATTATTACAACACGCATTAAAGCCAATCTACATTGGTAACTTCTGCTGCGTAAAAGCTTACCGACCTAATTGATACAATTTTATGAAGTTTATATGTCAAGTTAGAAAGTACATTTACAAACACCAATACTTACAAAATTTCCCAAATCTGTCACATTATATGGGAGTTTACGCAAAAAGTTCGGGATATTTTGAGAACGGGAGATATATACATATAAAAATATTGATCCCAGGAGGAATAAGAAAATTGAACAACTGAAGCAAGTTCGTTGTGATATAAAAGTTTGCATCATTTTGAAGTACAACTTTACTCCATTACCACCAATGGCTTATGATTTCTTCACTAAAGATTCTGCTCCACTTTTATTCAAAATGAGATTTTGTTTTTGGTTCACAACGGGAATTCTTGAAAAATAAGGAATAATAAAAATACGAGAAAAAAAAGTGGTATAATATATAAAATAATGTAACGCCACCGAGGTTAACAAAAAACCTCTTTTGCATTTTTTGGTTAGCCAAACAAAGAAAAATCTAGTTGGCAATGATATAATTAAAAACCACAGGATTAATATCATGGTAAGTCTAACAGGTACGTAAACACACACATTGCAATAGTATCTCGGGTAGAAATCGTAAAAGGATGTGATACCTAATGATCCTTCTGAGCAAACAAAATTCCAACTGTAATATCTTTCTATTTTAGAAGTAGTCGAAAGAAACATAGTTCTTTCTTCGGATAACTGTTTTTTTAATAAATATTTTGAAAAACGACATTCAAACCATGCATGTTTTCCTTTGACTTACGTGGAAAAACTGAGGTTTTCAACCGGGTTATATTTTATAATCAACACCACTCGAACCCGCTCTATAACATATATTCATCTAAAGTCTCAAACCAAGCGTGAAAAAATACCTAAAACTATGCAGTCATTTTATTATCTTAGGAGCTTAGACTGTAGAAATGACTAACGTTGCTCTCGATCTTGCTCAAATAATTGCTTCTTTTACGACGCTTAGGTGGTGGCTTAGTTTTAAAAGGGTTCTGACTTCGGGCCACTAAGTCCCACGTTGAGAGCATGCTCTACCTATCTCGGTTTGGGAGACCGAATAATATCATTAGCTCTTATACTTAATGTGGCTCGAACCCAAGAATCCGGTGAATGTGTTAAGTAATTCACGCCAGGATTAATTGAAAACACAATGTGTTTTGTCTGAGTGTGTATTTGGACCTACAAAAAGGATATAGGCTAAATAGATTAACAAAATGCTATTAGATTACCATATTACACTTAGTTGAAGGTTGAAAACTGTTGACAAGGACGTACCATTCATTCTACCTAACTGAGGATGAAAAAACAGAAAATATTGACTTTTATATTAACTGTTCACTGATCAGACTAGTGGCTTTCGTCAAGCTGAACCAACTAAATCATTACTTGAGTAAACGATTCAACCAAATAAATGACCAGAGAACATAAAAAATTACTGGTCCACGACAGGCAATTAACAGTGAGAAGATGAAGGTTATGTGGTATGAATGTAAAGAATGGTTAGCTTTAAGACGGCATATTTATTTGAATACATAAACTTATGATATCCCACATGACAAGAAACTAGTGCAGAAAGACATCCTACAAATTTTTAGAAGAGAATAACCTATCTAGTGAAACACATAAAGAAGAGGACATAAGACCTGATACAATATGTCACTGGTCGGATTCTCACGACATCAAAGGCTATAAATAGTTTGTCAGTGAATTACAGAAGAATACCCACACTTCCCCATAAAGTTTCAGTTTGGGAAGGACAGGATGCCTGATGGCCTGTGTAAGTCCTGGCAATGGTGGTATCTCAGTTGATCCAACTTTTTTTTTGAAAGAATCGACGGATGAAGCCTCAACCACGTGCCGAGGTAATGAGTTCCACTCGTTGGTGATTCGATGGGAAAGCCGATAGTCAGCTGACAAGTAATTTGTTCTTGGCTTGTGAACTTTTTTGGAGTGTCCAAGTAAATTCTCTGTTTTGCGACACAAGAAAAATGGGGGTGAAAATGTATCACTCAGCAACATGAAAACTGTAATCAAGTCGCCTCTAGTTCTTCGACATAAAAACGGGAATAGGTTTAGCTTGGCCAGTCGAGCATCGTACAATGTCAGAAGAGTTTTAGCGTCGACATGACAAAAAGCCCTATGTATTGACTGTAAAGTTCTGAAACCTTTGGCGGCTATTGCACGGAAGTGTGCAGTAGTCTTTCAGTCTTGGCTAACGATGACTCCTAAGTCATTGTGTGTCTGGACAACCGGTAGTTCAGTGTTATTCATCGTGTGCGTATCTGTACCTTGGTGACCGATATGCATCACAATACACTTGGATGTATTTATCGGCAACTACCAGGTTTGAGACCATTCGGAAAATTTCTCCAGGTCATTTTGGAGTTCTAAGCTATATTCCTTACTTCATATCGCTCTCCATATCTCGACATGATCAGCACTTAGCAAGGCTGATGATGATGGTAGACGAGGAAGGTCATTTGCATACAAGAGGAATAACACGGGCCCCAAAACTGTACCCTGGGGCACTCCACTAACCACAGTTCCCCAGCTAGATAACTTTGAGTTCACCCGAACTCTTTGTTGACGCCCAACTAAGAAGTCTTTTGTCCACATAAATAGATTGCCTCCAATCCCGACATTTCTTAACTTATATAACAGCCGGTTGTGCGGAACCTTGTCAAAAGCTTTGCTGAAATCAATGAAGGCTGCGTCTACAGGTAACTTTTGGTCCTTAAGAGCGCACCAGTTTTCACGAGCCACTACTAAGCTAGTGAGACAAGAGTAACCTATTCTGAAACCGTGCTGCTTCTCCGAAAGGATCCGGTTTTTATCGAGATACTTAAACAGCTCCTTCCGAATAATCTTTTCTAAGATTTTAACAACCACACTAGTTAGGCTAACGGGGCGGTAGTTCTCAGGTTTGAGTTTCGTACCTGTTTCGAAGACAGGACTTACTATGGCATTTTTCCAGTCTTTTGGTAAACGACCCTGTGTAACGGATAGGTTAAAGCATGTACTTAAAGGGCTTGCAACGAAGTTAAATAATTCCTTCAGTAGCCTAGGATGTAATTCATCGGGCCCCGTGGATTTACCTATGTCAAGCTTATTTAGCAGACCAAAGACATCGAGTTCTTTAATGGTCACGCTATCCAGTGTATGTATGGGGGGATCTGCATACGCTGACGAGAAGGGAGCTTCTATGGTATACACGTTGCTAAAGTAGTTCGAGAACACTTGAGCCCTACCAAAGTCGTCTTCCACTAATGATGAAGCAGTACTGTTTCCCCATAGAGCAGGAATATTTCCTCTTCTCTTTGTCCTTTGGTTTATATAGGAATACAAGCGTTTAGGACATTCTATGGATTCCTTAACAATCTTTTCTTCGTACAACTTTCTAGACTTACGGAGGGTCGAGGCACAGGTCATATAAAAACAGAATTAAAAGGAGACATTCTGTTTACTGTAATTGAGTGTTAATAAATTTTCTCAGCTAATTTAATGAAAGATATCCTGGTCAACAAGGGCAATTGATGTTTTCCACGTAGCATAGCATGAAGCAGTTTTCATGACGGTGCTTCATTTTAATCGCCAGCCAGTGAGTAAAAGTTATGACGTAAAAATAATGGGAAGTTAAATTAACGCATATTAAGTGGTCACAATGATCTGGTTGTCTAAAACCAACCACAGACATCCAAACAGGGGAGAACAAGGACTGACTAAAGCACAAACACGTATAAAAGATTAAAACGCCAAGACAATTCCCAAAGCCTATAAATTACATTTGTCCTCTAGCACTGTCCAGCCTTTTTTCACGTTTTTTTACTAGAAATATGTTGACTTAAAGCTTATCACTAAAATCCAATTTGGTCAGATAGTTTTAGTTGATAATAGGATTTAGACAATATTTAACTCAAATCATAACTTCACAGAGAGGGGTTAAAAATTGAATGTAACTAACGGTGGGAATCACTGACTATTTCGACCTAAACATACCTTAGCAAATGTACATAGGCAGTAACGGAGGAAATTTTCAACCGGAGGCACATAAATACTTAGCAAGGGCAACCAACATTCAATACCATTGTACAATTTATGGTCCAATGATTCAGATTCAGATTTGTGTAGTAAAGACAGAAGGCCTACAGCTTTTGTTATTCTTTTTAGTATACCTCTGTGAATGCCCAATCTTTTCTGAATGAGTCAACTGTATATGCAGACACCACTGCTTTGGGCAACATGTCCCAAGAATTGATGACCAGTATGCCACGGGTATTTTATTCGCTCTAGGCTTTTCTACTCGCCTGCTATGTTATCTGAGATGTACCGATTTAGTAGGGAGAAAAAGAGGGGATATATCAGGTCCAAAATCACTTCTTGGTATTCTACACATCAAAATTAGATAAACTCTTGATCTGAGATAGGACAGAGCAGTTTCAGTTTCAGTTTGGAGAGGACAGGAGACTCGATCACCTGTGGTAGTCCTCGTAATGACGGTCTCTCGGTTAATTCAACTTTCTTTTGAAAGAATCGACGGATGAAGCCTCAACCACGTGCCGAGGTAATGAGTTCCACTCGTTGGTGATTCGATGGGAAAGCCGATAGTCAGCTGACAAGTAATTTGTTCTTGGCTTGTGAACTTTTTTGGAGTGTCCAAGTAAATTCTCTGTTTTGCGACACAAGAAAAATGGGGGTGAAAATTTATCACTCAGCAACATGAAAACTGTAATCAAGTCGCCTCTAGTTCTTCGACATAAAAACGGGAATAGGTTTAGCTTGGCCAGTCGAGCATCGTACAATGTCAGAAGAGTTTTAGCGTCGACATGACAAAAAGCCCTATGTATTGACTGTAAAGTTCTGAAACCTTTGGCGGCTATTGCACGGAAGTGTGCAGTAGTCTTTCAGTCTTGGCTAACGATGACTCCTAAGTCATTGTGTGTCTGGACAACCGGTAGTTCAGTGTTATTCATCGTGTGCGTATCTGTACCTTGGTGACCGATATGCATCACAATACACTTGGATGTATTTATCGGCAACTACCAGGTTTGAGACCATTCGGAAAATTTCTCCAGGTCATTTTGGAGTTCTAAGCTATATTCCTTACTTCATATCGCTCTCCATATCTCGACATGATCAGCACTTAGCAAGGCTGATGATGATGGTAGACGAGGAAGGTCATTTGCATACAAGAGGAATAACACGGGCCCCAAAACTGTACCCTGGGGCACTCCACTAACCACAGTTCCCCAGCTAGATAACTTTGAGTTCACCCGAACTCTTTGTTGACGCCCAACTAAGAAGTCTTTTGTCCACATAAATAGATTGCCTCCAATCCCGACATTTCTTAACTTATATAACAGCCGGTTGTGCGGAACCTTGTCAAAAGCTTTGCTGAAATCAATGAAGGCTGCGTCTACAGGTAACTTTTGGTCCTTAAGAGCGCACCAGTTTTCACGAGCCACTACTAAGCTAGTGAGACAAGAGTAACCTATTCTGAAACCGTGCTGCTTCTCCGAAAGGATCCGGTTTTTATCGAGATACTTAAACAGCTCCTTCCGAATAATCTTTTCTAAGATTTTAACAACCACACTAGTTAGGCTAACGGGGCGGTAGTTCTCAGGTTTGAGTTTCGTACCTGTTTCGAAGACAGGACTTACTATGGCATTTTTCCAGTCTTTTGGTAAACGACCCTGTGTAACGGATAGGTTAAAGCATGTACTTAAAGGGCTTGCAACGAAGTTAAATAATTCCTTCAGTAGCCTAGGATGTAATTCATCGGGCCCCGTGGATTTACCTATGTCAAGCTTATTTAGCAGACCAAAGACATCGAGTTCTTTAATGGTCACGCTATCCAGTGTATGTATGGGGGGATCTGCATACGCTGACGAGAAGGGAGCTTCTATGGTATACACGTTGCTAAAGTAGTTCGAGAACACTTGAGCCCTACCAAAGTCGTCTTCCACTAATGATGAAGCAGTACTGTTTCCCCATAGAGCAGGAATATTTCCTCTTCTCTTTGTCCTTTGGTTTATATAGGAATACAAGCGTTTAGGACATTCTATGGATTCCTTAACAATCTTTTCTTCGTACAACTTTCTAGACTTACGGAGGGTCGAGGCACAGGTCATATAAAAACAGAATTAAAAGGAGACATTCTGTTTACTGTAATTGAGTGTTAATAAATTTTCTCAGCTAATTTAATGAAAGATATCCTGGTCAACAAGGGCAATTGATGTTTTCCACGTAGCATAGCATGAAGCAGTTTTCATGACGGTGCTTCATTTTAATCGCCAGCCAGTGAGTAAAAGTTATGACGTAAAAATAATGGGAAGTTAAATTAACGCATATTAAGTGGTCACAATGATCTGGTTGTCTAAAACCAACCACAGACATCCAAACAGGGGAGAACAAGGACTGACTAAAGCACAAACACGTATAAAAGATTAAAACGCCAAGACAATTCCCAAAGCCTATAAATTACATTTGTCCTCTAGCACTGTCCAGCCTTTTTTCACGTTTTTTTACTAGAAATATGTTGACTTAAAGCTTATCACTAAAATCCAATTTGGTCAGATAGTTTTAGTTGATAATAGGATTTAGACAATATTTAACTCAAATCATAACTTCACAGAGAGGGGTTAAAAATTGAATGTAACTAACGGTGGGAATCACTGACTATTTCGACCTAAACATACCTTAGCAAATGTACATAGGCAGTAACGGAGGAAATTTTCAACCGGAGGCACATAAATACTTAGCAAGGGCAACCAACATTCAATACCATTGTACAATTTATGGTCCAATGATTCAGATTCAGATTTGTGTAGTAAAGACAGAAGGCCTACAGCTTTTGTTATTCTTTTTAGTATACCTCTGTGAATGCCCAATCTTTTCTGAATGAGTCAACTGTATATGCAGACACCACTGCTTTGGGCAACATGTCCCAAGAATTGATGACCAGTATGCCACGGGTATTTTATTCGCTCTAGGCTTTTCTACTCGCCTGCTATGTTATCTGAGATGTACCGATTTAGTAGGGAGAAAAAGAGGGGATATATCAGGTCCAAAATCACTTCTTGGTATTCTACACATCAAAATTAGATAAACTCTTGATCTGCGATAGGACAGAGCAGTTTCAGTTTCAGTTTGGAGAGGACAGGAGACTCGATCACCTGTGGTAGTCCTCGTAATGACGGTCTCTCGGTTAATTCAACTTTCTTTTGAAAGAATCGACGGATGAAGCCTCAACCACGTGCCGAGGTAATGAGTTCCACTCGTTGGTGATTCGATGGGAAAGCCGATAGTCAGCTGACAAGTCATTTGTTCTTGGCTTGTGAACTTTTTTGGAGTGTCCTAGTAAATTCTCTGTTTTGGGACACACGAAAAATGAGGGTGAAAATTTATCACTCAGCAACATGAAAACTGTAATCAAGTCGTCTCTAGTTCTTCGACATGAAAACGGGAATAGGTTTAGCTTGACCAGTCGAGCATCGTACAATGTCAGAAGAGTTTTAGCGTCGACATGACTAAAAGCCCTATGTATTGGCTGTAAAGTTCTGAAACCTTTGGCGGCTATTGCACGGCAATGTGCAGTAGTCTTTAAGTCTTGGCTAACGATGACTCCTAAGTCATGGTGTGTCTGGACAACCGGTAGTTCAGTGTTATTCATCGTGTATGTATCTGCACCTTGGTGACCGATATGCATCACAATGCACTTGGGAGTATTTATCGGCAACTACCAGGTTTGAGATCATTAAGATAATTTCTCCAGGTCATTTTGAAGTTCTAATCTATCATCCTTACTTCATATCGTTCTCCATATCTTGACATGATCAGCACTTAGCAAGACTGATGATGACGGTAGACGAGGAAGGTCATTTACATACAAGAGGAATAACACTGGCCCCAAAACTGTTCCCTGGGACACTCCGCTAAGCACATTTTTCCAGCTAGACAACTTGGAGTTCACCATTACTCTTTGTCTGCGCCCAACTAAGAAGTCTTTTATCCACATGGACTTCCTAAAACCCAGACAATTCTTAACATTATCGAAAGCTTTGCTGAAGTCAGTGTAGGCTGCGTCCATAGGTAACCTTCGGTCTTTAAGAGCGCACCAGTTTGCACAAGGTTTAGCTTTTCAAGCCGCTTTTTCTATGGAAAACCCGGAATTCTGGATTTGCACGGATGGCTGCCCCTTGTACTTTTTCCGAAATATCCGAGTCACCTCTCAAACAGGGGCTCGCAGCCTGAACGCAGTCCTCAAGCTTAGTTCTAACTAAGGCGTAAACTATGATGAACATGGTAGTAGTATTCAACCAGGTGAATGTCTGTCTTAAAGCCCAAAGGATGCCATCGTTTCATTAGCCACGCTCAGCTATTTATTATCATTACCACGAGCGAATACATCCTGTATAATATGTAGGGGAAAAGAGTATTGTAACATAAGTAACATGATAAAATACAAACAACCCTTAATTTAGAATTGTTTTCAGGAGGGGTTTTGTGGAGATTTTTAGAAATGTCAATAGCTGAAATCATGAGTCAACCCATTCGGATAATAATCATGTGCTCACTGTCGACTGACATCAAGAGGCCTTTCCTGGAGTTCTAGTGAGAAGCCGTTACCAGTGGAGTTCAGCCAGGTCTATTGTGAGATATCAACTCGCTGAAGACAATGGTGTATGGTGGCGCAGACCCGTGGATTGGTTGAAGTTAAACATTAACACCGTTGGATGCCGGCTCAGTGGTTTAATGGTTAAGCGCTCGCGTGCGAGACTAATAGGTCCTAGGTTCGAATGTCGCGAGGGGCGGGATCGTGGATGCGCACTGCTGAATAGTCCTATACTGTGACGAAACGGCCGTCCAGTGCATACAGGTTTTCCATGGTGGCTTAGCTTCAATTGACTCCTAGTGGGCGAGGCTGGATTGGAGATTATTCCGATTCATTTTCTCCATCGTCCCTCCTCTTGTGATTATTTGAAAATCACTGGAAATTCGCCCAATAAATGAGAAGGAAGACACCGGTTGTAAATAACATTGGACGAATTATCGAACACTTTTAATCTGCATTACAGACAATTAAATAGGTAATTGAGCGCTTTTAATTCTGTGGTTCAGTAAGACCAAACAGACTGAAGGATTCATCAGTATCACATTATCAGGATTCGACTGTTAGATAAATAAACTTGGCAGTACATTTTGATAATTCCGAAATTTTAATAGGTATACACGATGCATTTCTTATGCTGTCAGTAGTATGATGAGTGTGTAGAATTATGGCCTAATATGATATTAGTACCGCTCTAATAATATACTTAATACTGAGCTTGTAGATTTGTCATGATGTAACTTCCTAATCTATAAGATCTTATTTGGAAGTCATATTATTATCTACACCAAATCATCGCGCCGTAACAATCACCAATATATTATGAAGAACACACTTAGGCTAGAGCTGGAATAATATATTTAATATGAACAAAAGGTATATGTTAACAGTCAATGATGACCACGCCTGCAAGGCCGAGCCGTGCTATGCGATGGATTCGAACTCACTCAATTGATTGTTCCCGCCTTCCTCATCGTTGGGTTTTTCTCCGTGTTAAACGTTGAATATCTATTGTACTTAAAGACTATGGAGTGCTTGAAAATGCTAATGACTTTATCAGTTTGTCATGAACTTCTATTTTTGCCTGCCATTCCTTTTTCGTCAAGTGTCAATGCTCCAGTCATAATGTGAGAGCTTGAATCACCATATACTAAGCTATTTTGTAGGAACAGCTAAAATAAAATTGAAAACGTAAGTCCAACAGGCAGCACAGATAGGAGAACAACAACATCACTTAACTATTATCTCGTCTTCAATTATATAATGTGTGAGACGAAAAAAGGTTTCACTCTACCAATAAATGTACAAAAATGGACATACACTGTCTGATAACGCTGCTGTCTGAAGTCTATTCTTGCTAGGGGACCTCAAAGTTAGCCATTCTAGACTCCATGAATGAAATATGCGAGCAAATATTTTGGAAACGATCAGCGTCAAGGAAATACAGTCAAAGCTGACAAATTATTGTCATAGATGAGCACCCCGACTCACCCAAGAGTGATATGGTACAGATCTTCGACTGAGCTACCTCAGTTAAGGGTGCTATGCAATCAGATGTTTCTTTAACACAAAATAACGTATTAACCAGAAAAGGAATGATTAATAAATAAGTGCTCAGTAACTGGCAATCAATAAAAAATATTCGCAAGGAGACAGGATCAATAATTTATCTGAAAAGATTAGCATGATCTTTTTCAGCTAATAGTGAAACGTCAACACTCATCAGCTGAGCCATGAAGTAACATTGAGTTTAGTCGGACACGACACCATTGTCAATTGCTTGGTAACATACAATAGTTAAATTAGGTAATAAGGGTAAATCTTTAAACAAAGTCGAGCAATAAAAGTTAAGACAAAGAGAACTAAAGAATATAAAATTTGGTTAATAGATACCTCAGTCACTGCTTATACTCACTGCCACTCCACCTTATTTCTGGCTATTTGCCTCTTCTAAGGTGACTGGTAGACTCAACATTATGTCCTACTCTAAGTACTGTGTCTCGCGTCCTTTTTAGAAAATGCTGATTTCAAAAGCATCATGTCTGACGTATGTCGGACAGATACGAATTAGGAACAGGTGTGTATTTTACAGAAATCATATAGTCTGCTTCTAAAAAGTGTGCATCAGTACGAGTTAATTGTCGTTTTCAGTAACGAGAGAGTGGCAGGTCTACGTTCCTTGACAGTTTGGTTCAAAAATTTTTAATTCGCATGTGTGTGTGTGATTGGAATCGCCTTTCGGACATAACTATCACAAAAAACTATCCCAATTAAAAATGAATACCGTCACCTATGTTCTAGAAATGAATAACACACATGTGTACATCAAAATTGCTTCAGTTCATAAGTATAAACAAGCATTACGTACTTACTTACTTACGCCTGTTACTCCCAATGGAGCATAGGCCGCCGACCAGCATTCTCCAACCCACTCTGTCCTGGGCCTTCTTTTCTAGTTCCATCCAATTCTTGTTCATTTTTCTCATGTCTATTTCCATTTTCCGGCGTAATGTGTTATTTGGTCTTCCTCTCTTCCTTTGGCCTTGAGGATTCCATGTGAGGGCTTGTCTTGTGACGCAGTTGGGTGCTTTCCTCAATGTGTGTCCTATTCACTTCCAGCGCTTCTTTCTGATTTCTTCCTCCGCTGGGATCTGGTTTGTTCTCTCCCACAGTACGTTGTTGCTAATAGTGTTCGGCCAACGGATCTGAAGTATTTTGTGTAGACAACTGTTAATAAACACTTATATCTTCTGGATGATGGCTTACGTAGTTCTCCATGTTTCCGCCCCATACAGTAGAACTGTCTTGACATTTGTATTGAAAATCCTGACCTTGGTGTTGGTTGATAGTTGTTTTGAGTTCCACATGTTCTTCAGTTGTAAATATGCTGCTCTTGCTTTGCCGATCCGCGCTTCCACATCTGCATCAGATCCACCCTGTTCATCAATGATGCTGCCCAAATATGTAAAGGTTTTTACACCTTCCAAATCTTCTCCGTCAATTGTGATTGGATTGGTGCATTCTGTGTTGTATCGGAGAATCTCTCTTTTCTGTTTGTGTATATTGAGACCTACTGCTGCTGAGGCTGCTGCTACACTGGTCGTCTTCTCCTGCATTTGTTGTTGCGTTTGCGATAGAAGAGCCAGATAATCTGTGAAGTCTAGATTGTCC